GCGGGGGGCCTGGTCCTCCCTGAGCCCTCCTGACGGACAGCCTCTGTGACCTCTGCTCCCCCACCTCTGCCCAGCCAGGCAGGTGCTTTCTTCGGAAAGATCTGTGGGGACAGCACTAGGCTCAGAGCCCCTCACCCCCACCTTGCTGAACCCCAAAGCATGCTGGCCTCCATCTTTGTGCTGCCCTTCCTCCTGGGGCACCCCCTCCCAGACCACCTGCCCTGGGCAGGAAGAGGGCTCAGGGTCCAGTGTTCAGCCTGAGGAGGGCCCTGGGGTGTGTGGGACGGGGGTGGGGACTGCAGGTGCAGGGGGCCCACAGGCTGGGAGAGCAGTGTGTGGCCCTCTGCTCAGTCAGGGTTTGCCCCAAGCTGGGGTGCCCTTGCGATGGGATGGGGTCCCTGAACTCTGGAGGGCCCAGGTGGTAGGGTGATGGGGGACGGGGCACCAGACCCTCTCTGGGAGAGGCAGCTGTGGCCATGGGCCTGAGGCTCCTTTGAAGGGTCCCCCCCACCTCTCCCACCCCCACCCTCTTTCCACAAGGAGCACCTCTGGGAGATGTGGCAGGGCCTGGCCCAGGGAGCCCCGGGTGCTGGGACAGCATGATTTCAGGGCTGAGCATGGTGGTGTTCTTACCTGGGTCACAGACTCGGCACTGCAGACACTCACTCAGGCCGTTGAGGTGGGCGGTGTAGGTCCCCGCAGTGCAGGGAACACACAGTGTGCCCGTGAACTCCCCACAGGCCTCCTTCACGTGGTAACCTGCAGCCCAGAGGGTCCCCACACTCAGGAAGGAGCAGGCCCTCCGGAGCCAGCACATCACTGCCACCTGGAGGCAGGGGTGACACCTCCCACAGGGCCTCCCGGGCCATGCGTTTTGCCAAGCTGCCTGCCTCCCACCACACAGTGAACCAGCTTTGGGGGAAGTGGGAATTTTCTGGGACAACATGGGGTCTCCTGGGTCACGGAGACCTGGCTCTGTGGCAGTGCCCGCTCTGAACCCCAGTCCTCTGGCTGTAAGCCGACTGGCTGCACCCCGCAGCCCAGCCTCTGTGCAAGGTAGTGGGGGTCTTGCCAGAAAGAGAGGAGGCTGCAGGGGCCGTCCTGGGGTTAAGGCCCCACCCCCTCTTTGCCCCAGAAGCTCCAAGCCTCCCATGGTGGTGGGTGCTCTGAATAGAGCGATTCCAGGCCAGGGAGGGGGCAGGAGTGTCTGCCCTGCACCCAGTGGCCCGCACAGGGGTCCCTGCAACCACAGCTCTGCCCCCACCCCCCCATATCCCCCTGCAGCCCCCCAAGGGGTCCCTGCAGGGCAGCACCCACCTGGGCTACACTTGGGGCAGCACTGGCTCCTCACGGGGAACTCCTCCTCTTTGCATACAGGTACCGCCTGGGTGCAGTGGGGGGACCCCAGGAGCAGGAAGTACAAGGCCTAAGAGAGAAGAGGATGGGGTGTTGGGGCAGGAGCTGCGCTGGCGGCTCGAACCTCAGTCCTCGCGTCCCTGTGGCAGCAGTGCCCTGCAGGGATGTCGCAGGGGGGCCCAGGATAAGCTTTGGGAGCGGTCCCTTGTCCACTGACGACCCTAGGTGGTGGGTAGGGATCAGCCCCAGCAGGGCTCCCACCCAGTGGCAGGTCCCAGCACCCTCCCCCCGTGGTGGGGGCCTTGCCTTCTGCCCCTGAATGGGGCTGCTGGTGGAGAGTTCCTGTGGGGGTGTCGCTTTCCTGCCTCTGACCAAGGAATTGCGTGTTGGGGGCTGGGACAGCCCCAGTGAGCTGGGCAGCTGTGGCTCAAAGTCTGGCATGTGGGAGGGGTGGGGGCACGGCCCAAGGCAGGTACTAGGGAGGGGGGATAGCTGGACACAGCCAGGGGGCAGGAAGGGGCCCCTGGGGCAGACGAGGGGTTCAGAGGACTCACCAGACTCAGGGCGTCGGCCTTGGGCACTGGGCACCAGGTGGGGGGCCCCCAGCCTGGCAGCAGCTCCATGTCCCCCCTCAGGATTCTTCATTCCCTGGTCGCTGTCCCAGGACCCCTGCCATCAGAGGAGCCCAGACGACCTTGCTGCTGCTACGGCGTCCTAAGAGAAAGTGAAAGAGAAACTCAGGAGGGGGCCAGAAGTGGAGGAGACACTCACTCGCTCAGTCAAGAGCTTTTTCTCCATTTCTCTCAAGGGTGCCTGGATCCCATAGCTGCCTGGGAGCCTGCTGGGGCCCAGGAGTCGTCCAAACAAGGAGGCGGGCGGCCACGAGCAGAAGGATGAAAGGCCGGAAGGCGGGGGTGGGGCCAGCGGCACAGCCTTGTTTACAGGCCCTCCGGCCCCCGTGAGCCAGCCGGGAGTCAACCCCGCTGTTCTCCTGGCCCTTCTCCTGTCCATTAGCAGCCCCCGTTGAGTTTCCAGTAGAAGTGGGTGCCCCCCAAGTCGCGTCTGCACGTCCCCTGAGAGCCTACCTGCTGCTCCCTACAGCACAAAGCCCTCCCGGACTTCCTGTACCTGTGTCAGGAGCTGCAGAAATGGGGAAACAGTCCCCTCCAAAGAAACTTCACTTCCAAGCAGCGTGGTCCTGGTGTGTCCCCACCGCGACCCGGAGAACTGGCTGGGCTGTTTCCACCTTCACATTCGGAGCTCAGCTGTGCTCAAAGCCACTGTTCCCACAGCACCCTGAGACCCCGTGGGGGTGGGGACGGGGACACTGTGTCATCCTTGAGCGCACAGAAAGGCTTCTCCCACCCATGGGACCACATGCATGTGTCCCAGAAGCCACGGGGTTGGGTAATTTTCACAGATGGGGAACGAAGACTCATAGACATATGGTCTGGCCCCGGGTCTCTGCTGTGCGAATTGCTCAGAATCAAACCCCAATCTTCCTGCCCAGAAGGGGATCTCCCCATGGGGTCTTTCCAGAACAACAGCCACCCCCAGAGCTAAGGACTATGTGAGCAGTCTGGGGGTGGTGGACCCCCCCACACACAGTGCCCTAAGAGGCAGGCTGGGGTGGAGGGTCCTCAGGGGAGGCAGGCCGCCCACCCATGGTGCCCCACATGGGGAGCCACTGGATGAGTCAGCTGTACCCCCAACCCCCTGACTTCCACATCACATGTGTATCTCTGGCTCATGGGATGGCGTGGCACCCCACGGCCTCCTTTATCTGTGAGGTTGTAAACCCAATTAAACGTGGCGGTGTGAGCCTTCCAGACGCCGCCGCCTGGACTTCCCTCCGCTCAACCATGGTCAACCGCACCGTGTTCTTCAACATTGCCGTCGACGGCGAGCCCTTGGGCCGCGTCTCCTTCAAGCTGTTTGCAGACAAAGTTCCAAAGACAGCAGAAAACTTTCGTGCTCTGAGCACTGGGGAGAAAGGATTTGGTTATAAGGTTTCCTGCTTTCACAGAATTATTCCAGGATTTATGTGTCAGGTACGAAATTTACGGATTATCATTTGGGTTGTGGCCTTAATTTGTGATTGAGCCAGTACCATTCAGGATGTGTACATATGAGCTGTTAATTATACCATTTTGGTTCCACTTAAACCCAGTCAGTTTAAACTTGACTTTGAAGTGTGAACCTTGCAGGCTTGGCACATTTTCTAAATGTGTTGCCACAGGTGACAGGTTCCTCTTTTATTACATTCACAGGGTGATGACTTTACACGCCATAACGGCACAGGTGGCAAGTCCATCTAGGGGGAGAAGTTTGAAGATGAGAATTTCCTCCTGAAGCATACAGGTCCTGGCATCCTGTCCATGGCAAACGCTGGACCCAACACAAACGGTTCTCAGTTTTTCATCTGCACGGCTAAGACTGAGTGGTTGGATGGCAAGCACGTGGTCTTCGGCAAGGTGAAAGACGGCATGAATATCGTGGAAGCCATGGAGCACTTTGGGTCCAGAAACGCCAAGACAAGCAAGAAGATCACCATTGCTGACTGTGGACAACTCTGATGCCTTTCACTGGTTTTATCTTAACCAGACCATTCCTTCTGTAGTCAGGAGAGCACCCCTGCCCCATCTGCTCGGAACACCCCATTATCTTTGTGCTCTCGCTGCAGTTCATTGGGTTCCATATTTTCCTTGCCCCTCCAAGTCTAGCTTGGGTGCCGGATTAAAGTTATGGATATGGAAAAAAAGCCTAACCAAAACAACAAAAAAACGTGGCGGTTGTGGTCTAATCAAACAGTCCCAACCCTGATGTGCGTATCCAGCTCCACAGGCCATGGGAAGGTCCCTATCAGGCCCTCACCAGACCTGGGAGCCACCCCTCCTGAGCCAACAGCTGGACGCCCAGCCCAGGCTGCCCTGGAGCCCCTCCCGAGCACTGTCTCTGGCACCAAAGTCCTGGGGCCACTACCTAACTTCACTTCTGGGGGGCTTGGGAGGAGAGTCTGGTGCTGTGATGGGGTGGGGCTGGGGAAGGACCCCTGTCCCGTTAGGCTGAGCTTCCCAGCGCTCAGGCAGGGTCCACTGCTGGCCACCATCCCCCAGGGCAACCAGCCAGCCACGCAGACCCCAGCGCTCTGAGGCAGTGTGTGGAGGTCAAGCAGGACCCAGAGACTTGGGAGGCCCCATGAGACTGCCAGCAGCATAGGCTCCCGTCTCCTGCCCCAAGGGCCTGGCAGGGGCCCCCCCGACTCTGCTAACCCCCTGCCCACAGGCCACTGGGGTTTCCGGTGAAGGGGAAGGGGTACCCCCTCACACACAACCTCTGCTCAGCCCTGATGAGCCCTGGGGAGTGCTCTTGAATGCTCCAGAAACCCCAGCAGCACATAGGACCCCCAGAGCACACTGCAGGGACCACAAACAAGCTCTTGGGGAGCTTGGACCCCATACTCCCTATCACACCCCCCATCACCTCCCAACTCCTGGGACGCTCCTCAGGGAGGGGTGCCCGAGAATTGTAAAGAAGGAAGATATTCTCCCTACAGCTGGTGAGGCCCCCCCAGAACCCACCCTCACCCCCACTCTCAACCCACCCCTCCCATCAGATACACCCTGAAAGATCATGTCATCCACGCCACCCTGGGCAGGTGGGGAAACTGAGGCTGTGCCTGCTCAGAGTCACAGGCCCTAACCTGAGGGTGGGCGTCCCCTACCCCAGCTCTGCCGCAGGGCCTGCCGGGACCCTAGCCTCATCACCCTGCCAACCCTCCCCACAGCCCCACGCTGCACCCATGCATCACTCCAACACCTCCACCTCAAGGCAGCTGCACATGGACTCTGAAAATCCCCTGATCACGTTTCCTCTTCCTTCTTGGAAGGAGTTTTCCAGGGTCTTGAGGACGGAAGAGAGACTGTGAAAACCAATGTCTGTGCTGATCCTGGAGGGCGGGAGGCAGGGGCCCCCTGAGGGTCCATCCTGAGGCACCCCTGCTCCCCTCTGCGTTAAGCCTGACTAGTCTCACTCGTGCTCTATGTGAGCCCCGGGCAGGCAGTCAGCTCAGAGGCAAAGCAGCCTGGTCCCCGCCCTCTTGGGGTCATGGTCCATTGGGGGAGCTGAGCCCAAAAGCCAGACTCAGTCATGTGGTAAGGGCTCTCTCAGTGAGCAGCAGAGACCAGGTGGGGCTCTGAAGGATGAGTAGGAGCCCGTGGGGGGACAGGATGGGCAGGTCGTTCTCTGAGAAAGGACGTGAGTTGAGCAGTGTGGTGGGAAGTACTTGAGGTCCACTCCTGGTGAGGCACAGAGGGCACATGGCGTGGTGCCCGCCGAGGACCCCACCTGGAGGGAGGCTGGCGACTCCAGGTGCGTCCCGCACACAGGAAACTGCCTTTGTCACTGCTCGGAGGGTAGACAGAGAGGACGGAGCTAGGCGAGGAGGCTCCTGAGGTCACCCAGGTGAGCCCCTGAGAGCCGAGGGGGGCATGGAGAGAGGGCAACCTGGCCAATGCCCAGAGGTGCCAAGCCCACAGGACTCTGCCTCCAGCTCTCGTGGTGAAGGGCAGGGAGTGGACAGAGAGGCCAGGGGACAGAGACAGAATTGGGGGTGTGGCGGACACAGGTCAGACAAGGGTCAAAGAGTGCTTGGGCGCCTGGCGCTTCCCAGAGGCTGAGGTGCCTGATCCAATCCAAGCCTCCTTCTGGGAGCAGAATAGAGGGGGGCAGGGGGGGCCCCGGGTTCCACTCCAGCCCAGACCGGCTCCTTCGAACTCCAGGCTAGGGTGTCAGTTGTCAACTCAGCCATCTTCCCAGCGTCCCAAGCTTAGCGTGTGCCAGCGCCCGCCCCCCACCCCCCCAAATGACCATATGCAACCTCCCCAGCTTGGGGAGAGTCCTGTGCTCCCACCCAAAGTCAGGAAGGACCCTGGGAGGCAATCGCCTCCCATGCGGCCACTCCACACCCACACCCAGCCAGTTCTCCGCTTGGTGACGCAGCCTCCAGACGCTCCTCACACCCCGCTCTCCAGGCACCCTCGGCGGGCGCCCCGCCCCCCACTTGCTCCCACATTCTCCATTGTGCAGGCAGCAACCGGGGACCTTTTCAAACCATAAATCAGACCCTGTTTGCCCCGCTTCCGAGTAGCCTCCTCCACCCCCCCATCCTCACCCCCCAACAGTCTGCCTGCTCCTCCCGACTTGCCTCTCTACGTCACCTCCTGACCCTCATGCTCCAGCCACACCAACCCGTTTTGGGTCCCTGATGATTCCAGCTCCTTTCCACCCCAGGGCCCCCCACACACTGTCCTCTCTGCCAGGTGCTCCTCTCGGTGGCCTTCTTCATCCTCAGTAATCAAACCGCTCACGTCTGTCCCGCACTGGCTGACGCCACGCCCTCGCCCAGGCTTGCCCGCATTGGTGCAGTCTCCACCCTCACAATGACCTTGTGTTAGCACGTGGCCATGGCCCGAGGGACCATCACTTTACAGATAAAGAAGCCAAGGCAGAGAGCTGGGGCTAGCCAAGGGAGGCCACAGTCCAGCAGGATCGGATGAGGGTAGGCCAAAGAAATGGCTCCAGGCGCTCTGTCAACACTCAAAGCCACCTCCCTCGTTTCAGCTCAAGGAGAGGGCCCTGGGAGATGGCGGAGAGCACAGAGTTCCTCCTGCCCCTGGTTCACTAGACCAGTGGATGACCCTGGCCCTCTGAGCAGGATGGCACCGAGGGAGCCACAGATTGCCATACGATGGAAGCCTTGGGCCCATCAGGGGCCTCCTGGCTCCAAGTTGGGCAGCACTGCCCAGGGACCGTCAGCCAAGAAGGGAAGGAAGATGAGTGTGGGCGTGTGGGAGTCGCAGAAGGAAGAGAAAGCAGCAGAGCTGGCCGAGAGAGGCAGGCAAAATGGGCAGACTCGCTGAAGACAGGGAGGAGAAAGTCCCCAGGGTGCAGGTGGGCACACAGTAGGCCCGATAGGACTCATGATGGTGAACTGAGCAGGTCCTCTGATGGAGTGTGGCGGGGACTGTACGTGGGGGCAGCCTTCCTGGAAGGCAGTTTGGAAGCAAATACTAAGGTTTTTAGATCCTTGACTATTTGATGCAGAAAGTCCCATTTAGGAACGACATCCTATCAATATACTGATCTGAATGGGAAGACGTGTGTACAGAGAAATGTACATCTGAGCCTTGATAGTAACAGAGAATATTGGAAA